GTCACACATGGATGGATCGAGGAAGGCCGGTAGGACGGTCATCCCCTAAAAATGGGTATTTTTATGTTTGACTAAATATCTTTTATTTTCGATCATGCTGAATATAAGTACGACACGAATACGAAAGAAAATCAAATAAGCTATGCAAAAGAACAAATGCAAGTTGTGTACCTGAGTAACAATAGTCCATTGCAAATCTGGGGGAAGCCTAACAAAGTCATCAAATTTTGTTCCTATTAATATTGGAATTGCAGTCTGCAAATATCATGGAGGAAAAAGAACACTTTAAAACCTGGGAAACTGGTATAAGAACATAGGCAAAAACATCTTAAGGCCTCCACTCCATAAAATTCTTTACTGAATATAAAGACCACCTAATAATTGGAGCACTACTAATTCTATGGCCCTAGTACTGAAAGCTTCACATCAATCCTCTTTATTATTTCCAAGTATGAAGCTTGAAAATTTGACACCAACTAATGATTTCTTCATCAATTTCACCCTACATTCATTTACAAGGCAACAGTTTCTTTCTTAAATGAACAAATTACTGATTTTAGTACCTGATTCCATTTCCTTGCTTGACTATACCATCCAACAACACTGCAAAATCAAAAAAAAAGTTGCAGATATCAGGAAACAATACCATCAATTTGCATTTGCAGGGCTAATTTTCCAGTTGAAAAACAGGTTTTCAAGCTAACCTGTTAAGGGTGCACCGGCTTGTTAGATCAAACATAAACAAAATTGCTACTGAATCTTTACAAGCAATTGGAAGATGATCAAGAGAGTTACTGTCACCTGTAATGAAATAATCACACAGAAAAACAATGAGAAAAAGAAAAGAAAAGAAAATTTCTGGTTTTGCAGCAAAAGAAGAAAGATTTACCTCCTACATCCCATATGCTGAAAGCAATCCTAGCACCTTGGACAAACAATGTTTTGTTTACTAAATTTAATCCAGACATTTCTAAGCTTCTCTCGTGTTCATCCCCAACATATTTGATCTCCAGAAAAGGAAAAAAAAGGGGTTAATTCTATTAAGAAAAGCTACTTACTATTCTAAGCGGAGTTTCATCAAACACAAAAGGAAACCAAAAATCAAGTTTCTCACCAGAAAACTAGTTTTCCCAATCTGACAGTCACCTAACAAACTGATCTTCAAACTAACCAAATCCGAATCCGTCTCGTACCCGTCGTTCGCTAAGCCCTTGACATCGTCATCTTCGTCTCCGATAACAACCGCCCCTTCCACCAGAGAAGAACCCCGGCGAGTCAACTTTCTGTAGTGAACTGGTTGTCTTCCTATAGAACAAACAAGAATCCTATCCCAGATGTACCTAAAAACCTTCGAAATATCGATACCCTTCCCAGTATACTCCATTTAATGTTGACGTGAACAATTTTCCGATAAATTTGTGTCATTTTCTTTTCCCGGCGGCTTCATGAACGGTTCCGGACATGAAAGATCGGTCGTTGTTCCAACATAGGCTTTTGTTTTTGTTTCTTTTTCTCTTGAGCTTTATGCTTTGAAGCAGCTTAGTATCTTTGTAATGTAATAGGGGGGGATAACGGTTGACCGGTATTTCTATTTTTATACCCAAATAGTCCAAAATGCCGGCTTCTTGGGGTTTACGTACGGTGGGTATTTGGGTCAATTTCCGACGTTGATAAAGACGATAAGGGTAATTTTGTCATTTCGTTAAAAGGGTAATTCTGGAAGATAAGAGTATTTTATTTTTTTAGTTTTATGTGTTTTTTAGGGATAAATCTTTGTCTACATACACCAAGCACAAGAATCTTGTGACGTGTCTTTTAAAGATAAGAAAAAACAAGAATATTGTCTTTTTATTATTAGGTTTAATATGTAAATTGTCCCTATACAATAAGAAAATTATCAGTTTGGTATCAAGAATTTAATATGTAAATTTTCATGTAAATTTAGATGTATACTTAAAGTATGGTTCATATAAGAGTCCTATGGATCATGCTTCAATAACTATCTAGATAGCTGACAAGAGCCAGAGGCTTATTCACAAGTTATATATGTACAATAAGAAAAAAAAGAATTAATCTTAGATTTTGATTTCCCTCAATCCAGTGGTCGTATAAAAGTGTGAAACTAAACGAGTTTTATACAGTGTAAGTGGAGGAGGACCATAACCCTAAAAAATAAAACCAACACATAAAATACATTAATAAATGTATTTACATATATGGTCAAAACTATAGTATTAATTATTTGTTCCATTAAAAAAAGTGGGTATTTTAGCTCTCATAACATCCACAAGGATCCATGTTTCAAAATATTAAAAGTTGGTAATCAAACAATGAAAGGTCCTTGTCCAAAGAGAAAACATTGAATATATTATCCGTTTGGTAAAGCAATGAGTGTCCTACGAGTGGGAGGGACCACATTTGACATTCGGACCAGAACCACCTATCTAACTGATATAAGAACTAATTTGTTTGCTAGGAAGGTTAATGGAGTTGGGTAAGCCATGAAACTCTAGTACCAAACTGTATTTATTAAACAATTATTACAAAAAAGATTTAAACAAAATGTTAGCTTAAGTACTACCTTTCTTACCACCTTTCTATATGGTTTTCTTAATCATGTTTTTCATCAATTTTTGTTAGGGTAAATTACACAAATGGTATCTCAACTATTGAGTGTTGCTTTGTTGAGTCTCTCGATTATTAAAAGTTATAAATTGGTCATTCAACTATTCATATGTTCAAGACTCATCATTTTTCATTTAAAAGTTAACATCAATCTAAGCTAGACAAACTTGCGGACTGGGATATGATAAAATTTGATCCCAGAATCTCAAACGACTATCATATTCCAGTCAACATCTTAACGTTCAGATCAAATAACAATCAATTTTTAGCGAAAAAGGGCAAGTTTGAAATATATGAATAAATAGGTGACCATTTTGTGACTTTTAATAGTCAATGGACTCAACAAAGCAATGTCCTATAGTCAAATGATCATTTTATAACTTTTAATAATTTGGGACTCAACAAAGCATCACCCTATAGTCGATGAAATATTTGTATACTTTACCATTTTTTAACGATTAAGAAAAATATTGGTAATGATATTAAATATATATGTGTATATAAGGATGAATTGAGTTGTATTGAGGCACGGTTAGGGATGGCAAAAAAACCCGAATCCGACGGGGAAAATCGAAAATCGAATTAAACGGGGATGGGGAAAATCGTTTATGCTAAACGGGGACGGAGAAAAATCGTTTATGTTAAACGGGGACGGGGACGGGTTTAGTAATCCCCGATTACCCGATTATCCGGCCCGATACTCGACCCGATAAATATTAAAAATAATTAGTATATATATATAATCGTTCATACTTATTTATTTTTAAACGGGTATCCTCGTTTAGCATAAACGGTTATTTAAACTGGTATCGGGCCGGGTATATATATTTAAATTAAATATATAAATATTATATATATATTTTTAATTTAAATTAAATTTATTAATATTATATATATATAATAATTATTTTTAATATTTATGCTAAACGATACCCGACCCGATAAATATCCTCGTTGCCATCCCTAAGCACGGTCGTATCTTTAAAATTTTTAATTTTTTATGTAATTTAAATATTTTTATTATATTTTTTATTCCAAAGGAGTGGTTAGTGGTTGACAGTGACAAACCAGATGGGTGTTTTAACTCGATTTCATATTAGTTCTCTGGAAGAAATAAATATCAAAGGGATCAATCGTTATCATGATTTCTAATGCTCAACAACACGTCAAGAAAAAAAGGGTAAAGAACAATGAATTAAATCATTAATTGTATGCATATTTCATATTGAATACAGTGATTGATAGCTATGTTAATTGATGTTAATTTATTGAAAATAATTTGATTGTGAACTTAATCTTATTAGAAGAATGTATTTATGTAGAATTTATTATTGAAATGCAAGAAGGGGACAATGATGGAGAAGTTCCGGTATGAAAGATTGATGCTGAAAGATCACCTCATATGAAAGACTCTACAACCCACCTCACAATGGATCGATTGAAAAAAAGTTGTCTTCGTGTTTATGTTTATTCGTTTATTTTTTAAAGTGTTTGTATTCGACTCGTGTTCGTTTAAATTTTTAATGTTATGCTCGTGTTTGTTTATTGTTTTTGAATGTGTTCGTGTTCAGTTCAATTTATTTAGTGTTTGTGAATATATTTATTTAATGTTCACGGACATATTCGTTTGTGTTTGCCAACATATTCGTATAGCGTTTATCATCACATTTATATGTTCAAAAAATTGATAAAATTACACCACTAGTCCTTAAGCTTCCCAATTTGAATTCCAAAATTCACCCTTTATTCAATTTAGTTTCTGTCTTCACCAATATTGAAAATGTAAAAAAAATAGAAAACAAAAACCCAGGTGAATGAGCTTATAATCGAGTCAAACGAATTTATCAGTGAACATAAAAAAATCAAATACACCTATGTTCGCGTTCATTCGTTTATTAAATGAACATAAAATTCTTGTTCATACTTAAATATTTATAATAAATGAACGTTGCACGAAAGATTCTCAAACTGTTTATCGAACACTCTATCCATTTATACCCCTAACAATGAGGACAGGTTGAAAATTTTGCTGAGGATGTAGATGGCACTGTTATTACATGAAATTGTTGTTCAAGATTGAAACTTCTGCTGGCTTGGGTTGTTTAAAATTGATGTCTAATACATGAAAGTGGCGTTTGTCTCTGTGAAAGGCCAGCTTCTTCAACAGCAAATCCAACCACAATGAAAACCGATCTTCCTGCAAAAGAGACCTGAAGCAATGCAGGTGATTAGACAAATGCATTCTATAGCATGCTCCCCTGTGAAAACCTAACGACAGTCTCATCCGATGATCAAGCGATACAACAAGTCATTCATTTGTACACATGACAAGCTCCACAAATCATAAAGATCATTTATTTTCAGTTGAATAGGCAAACATCACTGAGTCCTGAATAGAAATTGCATTTCACTTTTTTGCCTTCCATACTAGCTCATGATCAATACGAACGCAGTTAAAACTTGTACCCCTAAAATATGACACAGAAATGCATCCAAAAATCAGTACACGTTCGGTTTGTCATCACCATATTTATGTTCGTTAACATGTTTTCTTAGGAACTTGATCCAAGCAACTCTACAAAATTCCCTAGTTTGATCAATGGATAACAGGCTTCAGAGGATGTGCTCTAACGTTGGACAAGTCGAGAGCAGAATCAAGCTCTTCATCCAGTTCACCGACAACACTTCTGCAATAATTAAAGAATAAAAAGTTAACATTTTATAGAAAGCATATACAGCAAGTCAACCAAGCTAACAACTGAAAATCCCTAATAATGAAGAGGAAAAGCGACATACATGTTGTCGCCTCTTATTATGTACAAACCCAGCACAAGTTGCTGAACACCTTCCTGCAAATTTCAACTCATAATAATCATAACAAAGGAAATCATCCAAGGGTCGAATTATATTATATTTAGGATGAAGAAAGAACTCTTGCTTCTTCAATAAACCAACCAAGTGCCAGAGATTAAATGAAAAAAATAGTAATAAAGGCATAGCTTGTTGAATAGGGACACAAACCTTGGTTGAGTACACACGTTCATGAGATTCATCGAGAATGATATTTGTGGCCTGGTCGAAGCCTTTTAAAACTCCCTTTGTTTTCAGGAGGGAAAAATAAGCAAAGGTGTAATGTTGCAAATTAGGACCTCATTGAAACTAAGAATAGTTTAGAAATATGCAAATAAAATGATTGTATTTCAAAAGATTAAGAAATGCATAGAAAGAATGCCTTGACATACCACAATGTTGCGTCCATCATTGGTAATGACCGAGATCATCTCTGCACATGAAGGAAATGGTTCAGAGAGAGAGAGAGACGGGGAGAGCCTAATTAACTTCGACCAAAAATGCCAATCAAGAATATACAAAATAGAAAAACAGCTTGAAAGTTGATGCGGAATCAGCCCGTCTGTTCGTTTTCCTTTAGATGCTATGTTAAAACATTTCAAGAAACAAAGGGATTATTTCAGTTAGCTTACGATCTACAAGAGACTCGAGTCCAGGGCCAGTTGCCATTTTGAAGCTCGGAAACAGCAGTAAATGTGATTAGAAAGACAATTTTCTGCACAAGGAAAGGGAGGATATAAGATCCCGAGTGCAACAAATCCGTGCACAAAATCAAGCAGACAAGATGCATTACAAAGAACACAAAAATAAGATCCACGGAAAGTACTATTGATTCTGTTCGTAATTTGGAGAACCAAAGGCGAGCATACGAGAATACCATTGAAACTAACACGGGGACAAATATTTCATGACTCAAATGCATTGTAATTCTTCAAAAATTCCTTTTAATTATCATGGAGACAAATCCACTACTAGAGCCCTATACAACTGCAACTCGACACTTGATCAGATTCCATTACTGCAGTCCTATACAAATTACAAACAAAACAAAAGTAATCAAATGCTTTCAGCATCAACACAGATTTCAAAACCACTCATTTAACAAACCCAAGTCTCAGATTCCCGTATTTGATCAGATAAACAACTCGAAACTATAAAATTTATATTAACAGTTAAGAACCAATAAGAAATCATAGCAGAAGAGTTAGTAAAAGACAGAAATTTTGAAGGAGAAGAGCCCAAACCTAATGCGGAGCAGCTTAAGGGGTCAGTTAGGAACTCGAATATTTGTCGGGTAGGGTTTTCCAAAGTATGCCGGCTGAGTTAGGGTAGAGAGAAGGGGAACAAGTAAGAGCTCGAAAATAGATTATCGGGGTTTTGGTTTCCTATTTAAAATATAGTGACGTGGCGTAATCTCTGTTGTAGGATACTTTTTAACAATGGCGTGGCATTTGATCTTTGCTGTTATTGGCTTGTAATATTTCATCTTGCATTTGATCATGAGTGTATTAAATTAACGTGTGTGTGTATACAGACAAACAGTTCTAGTTCTACCATGTTAAAAATGATTAAATTATATTAAAATATTAGTATTTCATTTATATTCATTACATATTTATCTAAAATATATGGGTAAATTACAAATTTCATCACTAAACTTTACTCTCTCTTATTTACTTATTGAACTTTAATTTTTTTAAATTTTCGTACATTGAGTTTTTTTATCACTCCGTCGTTAAATAGTTAACGGAGTTAAAAAGAAATCGTTTAAAAAACAAAAACAAAATTTTCACTAAAGTGATGTTGTTTTGCATCTATATGATAATTTATTTATAACGTCGTTAGTGAGAAAACAGTTGAGTGATAAAAAAACTCAATGTATTAAATTCAGTGAGGAAACTAATAAGATTTAAGGTACAATAAATGAAATTAAAATGATTTAAAGTACAATGAGTGAAATATGAAATAAGTAAAGTTCAATTGTTGAATTTATAATTTACCCAAATATATATATATATATATATATATATATATATATATATATATATATATATATTTGTATTAATATAATTATCCAAAATCATTGCAGATTCCCAAATTCAAATATTAGTGTTAAATCTGCGGGAGTTACAAGCGGTTCCACTTTTCATTGGAGTCTTCACTTTTCTCTTGCGTCCGGGCCAGTGGTAGTGGCTTTTCCCGCCCACTCCATTGTCATTTCTGGTTTTTGTTTTTATTTTTTAATCACTAGTTATTGATTTTTTCGGTTTATGTTATATTTTTTCATATTTTCAATCATATTTTCTCTAATAAAAGATATCATGACTACCACTATTTTCGCACTCTTGGTACAAGTTTCTTCTCTCGATCTTCTTATTGGTTTATGGTTTTACAGATTTTCTTGGTTGATTGCTTTCCTGATGCGTGGTCGTTTGCGTATGACATTTTGTTGACTTTCGAATATATACATCGGATGAGATTACAATTACAAGAGGATTGGTTTTTCGTTCGTTCACTCAACTATTCAAACACAACATGCTGTCACTAATCGTACATCGTTATATTTCTCTTATAATTATTTTGAATGTATGTATGACATTATCATACATCGTATCGTATCTTTTATAATTAATATAATCAATGTTTTTCTTTCAAATATATTATCATAAATCCGTTATTAAGAAGGCGATTGCGTTGCAAGTGTTTGTTGACGCCATTGTTTCCGGTTATCAGTCCGTGCAATTGAGCAATGCCGAGGTTGTGGATCGAAGGCAAGATATTATCGATTCTTCTGATAGTTGCGTTCAGTCTCTGGAGTCGGAAGATCTCGACGAAACAATCAATGACGCTGAAGGCTTGCCTGATTCGAGTGAATCGGAACGCACTGCTGCTGCTGCTGCAATTCAAGGGAACGAGGAGGAGACGTCAGAAACTAGTCGAATCGATTCCTTTGCCAATCACGAGAATGCAATTGAAGAGGAGGATGAACATGAGAAGGAAGAAAAAGGGGCGAATACTGTTGGCGAAGGAGAAAGTGGGAGAAAGGAGATGATTTTAGAGATGGATAATGGAGGATAACGAGAAGATGATGAGGTCGATGGAGAAGTTGTCGGAGAGGAACGAAACGCAGACTCGGATGCTGTGCGCGTTGACTCAAAGCTCCGATTGCAACTTTCATCCTGGTAAATCACTGGGGGATCAGTCTGTTCATGGAAGTATTCAAGGCCTTTAGCTGCACTGATTGCAACTTTCATCCTGGTGTCCCAGTCCAATGGATTCTTCTGTGCGGCTAAACCTGAAGGCCATGATCACAAACAACTGAATACGTCTAGAACACTTCAAACAAATATCAGACTCATCCAAAGAACAAATCATGGAAAGAAGACCTTCAAAGCTCCGAATCACGTCATAAGTATCCTTAGATGTTAAACATACCTAGAAGGTGACTCTCCAAGGAGCCATTAGCCATGTATTCGTAGACCAAAATCCGTTGATCTCCATCGGCACAATATCCGACCAACGTCACGAGGTTAGGATGGTCGAGTAAACTCAACATCAAGACCTCAACAAGGAACTCTCTGTTCCCGTGGTATCCATTCCTGTCAAGTTGCTTGACAGCAACAACCTGATACAACAGAACAACTATATGTAAACATATATATATATATGCATGCATGCATGTATGGATGGATATGTGAACAACCTGATTCGGGTTCTCAACCTGCTCTTTGTAGACCCTCCCAAAACCACCTTAACCAAGCTGATTCTCTGAGTTGAAGTTGTTAGAAGCAGTGCATAAATCACGGTAATCAAAAGTTTTTACACTCGTCTTGCCCTTACCCCTTTTTACTATTTATTCGGCAATGTATCTCTTTCGGTTTCCATTTGCCAAAAGAGAGGAAATTTTTGTTCAAAACATCAATCAATCAACCACCTTTAGGCTCTAGGATTCAACTATGTTACTCCTCGGGTGCGAGTGTCGAACACGGATACGAACATTCGAGACTTGTACATCCATTTCCATGGCCGTAGTTACCTAAACAAAGAATGAACATGGCTTGGCAATGGCAAACAATTAAGCATCTATTTCAAACACCCATTTCATCAAACAAATTGTGTTCATGGATTGAATTGAGAAAAACATAAAACAGGATCAACAAAAAATATATGCAGAAAACATGTTCCTTCCATTACATGTTTGATTGGTGATGAAATTGGAGAAAATTTGTACCACTCTTGAACGAAATATTGGCAAACGAGGGCATATCTTTTAGTGCTCTGGGCTCATCGGTTCCGTCACTCTTGTTGCATATTGTCTCTACCGACATACAACACGAAAAGCAGCTCATTGTTCGGTCGTCTTTTTCGTTGTCGTCGGGATATGAATAAACAACAAAATCCTCGGAAACCCAGGTCTAAAAATCGACTGCTTTAACAACAAAAAAGATCCCTTGAACCAAAATTTATGAGGTGATCTAGTATGAAGAAAATCCACAGCCGAGCTGTGAATTTTCTTAAATTTCTCAGGCCCCTCGGGAGATCAAACGGATATGTTTTTCTCATATTGTTTGTTCTGGCTTCTGTCATTTCCAAATCCCATTGACCCCATATTGCCAAAAATAGCTTGGGTCTTGCTAAAGATAGAATCCGAGAGAAAGTTTTCTTATTTTTTAACTACCTGTTTCGTTATCAAGAAAATTTCTGGAAAATCAATATGGTTTTCTATTATTATATGCTTTGATTTGATATGATTCTTTGTTTGCTCTATGTTCAAATTCGATCTATTACATTTGTACATAATCCATCAAATACATAAGAAATTGTATCACTATTGCAAACAAGTTAGTGATTTACGGGTAAGTAAAATTCTGCTTATTGGACGAACTATGTTATTTGGTTAAAAGAATAATTATTACTTTTAAAGTTATTAGGTTAAGATTCGCTTAATAAAACTCGTTTAGTTTTACACTTTCTTGTGACCATTAAATTAAAAGAAATCAAAGATTAAGATTAATTATATATATATATATATATATATATATATATTTAGGTGGTTGGTGGTAGGATTGCATCGAACTGAGAAAATAATAGTTCAAATTTAAAATTATCAAAAAATAACAAACTTTTGTTTCACTTTTGTTAATAAATTATTTATTTAATTCAAAATCATACCTAATATTACATTTTAATTTCATTTCGGTCATTCTATCAAAAAAATTAATATAATTGTTGATGTGATATTTTTAAAATTTTTTAATAATGATATGACATTACTTGATGATGCATGTCAGCATCAAAGTCAATTTTTAACGTTGGATAACCTAAATGAAACCAAAACGTAATATTTTATATGATTTTAAAACATAAAATAGTTGGGTGACCAATAAGAAACAAAAATGATAGTTGAGATACTAAAAGTGTTGTTTACCTTGTTTAATAAGGTGCAAATTTTCTTTTACTTACATGATAACATACACAAATGGTCCTAACTAGAGTCCATTGATTATTAAAAATTATAAAATGGTCACCTGATTATTCATATATTCTAAACTTGTCATTCTTCATTAAAAAATTGATAACAACCTGAGTTGAAAGTTAACATGTTGACTAATATATGATAATCTAGATTTTGAGATTATATTTTATCATATCAGAGTAAGTAGGTTAATGTCCAGGTCAAATTACCGTCAATTTTTTAATAGAAAATGACGAGTTTAGGATATATGAGTAGTCGAGTGAGTATTTTATAACTTTTAGTAGTCGAGGGACTCAACAAAATAACGTCTATAGTCAATAGATCATTTCGTAAACTTTTAATATTCATGGTACTTAAAAAAGTAATATCTTATAGTTAGGATATCATTTGTCTACCTTACCGTTATTTAAAACAGTATTTGGTTTATAAACCTAATCGAGATTATGAATTTCGTTTATCAGACTCACAAAGATAAGTTGGTACTTTCACCAAATCATCGGAATAAACGTATTTTGTAAGGTAAATCAATTTTTTAGGCTTAATACAAAATAATTGTCAAATTATGTCTCAAAAAACATTTTAACGTCTAAAGAATTTTTCCTTAAAAATATGTATTTAATGCTTGCAATGATATAGACGTTAACCGCCATTAAAAATCTTCTTTAAGTGACATGTGTCACGTTATCATGATTTTGAAAATATATTTTTATTAAAAAATAAATATATTTAAAAAAAAACTTTCAAAAAAACCCCACCCCTTCCCCCTCCCTCTTCCTTCTCCCTTCTTTGACACCACTGGCGTACATCTCCACCACCACCAACTTCGTCAACGCCTCACGACCCCAACTCTGACCAACAATCACCCAAATCGACCATCAATCGTCACAAAAGAATAAGAAATCGTTC